GAATTCTAGTTTCAAACTTCAGATTCCTCTTTAACAGCCACACAACAGTCACCATGAAAGCAAAAACCTTGAGATCAGGAAACACTCAAAAATTAGACCAAAAAAAAGGAGGGGGTAGCACTTCCTTAGGTATTTGCAGACGACCACAAAATTTACTCCTTTTAATCCTCTCGGAATTTTTTTTTTTTTAAGCAAAGACCAAGCTCTTCTTTTTGAAAGAATCACAGTGAATAGGCAACTTTCTCTCCATTATCAACCTATCAAGTTTGGTCTCATAATGCATCACCATTAGGATAAGTTCAGCTTTCTATCACTTTCAGGTATGTTCCCAATAACTCTCAGTTCAAATAAAAAAATCCCCTGGAGCTAGTATGGTGGTACAGCAGGTAAAGCCACAGCCTGCAGTGCCAGCATCCCATATGGGCACCGGTTCAAGTCCAGGCTGCTCCACTTCCCATCCAGCTCTCTGCTGTGGCCTGGAAAAAAAGTGGAAGATGGCCCAAGTCTTTGGGCCCCTGCACCTCCGTGGGAAACCTAGAGGAAGCTCCAGGTTCCTGGCTTTGGATGGGCACTGCTCTGGCCATTGCGGTCATTTGGGGAGTGACCCAGTGGATGGAAGACCTCTCTCTGCCTCTGCCTCTCTGTAACTCCACCTTTCAAATAAATAAATAAATCTTAAAAAAAAAAATCCCAAGACTATGACCTACATACATTTACTATTTGTTTCTTTTTATTTCAAGCAGAGTAGTAGGTTAATAAGAATGATAACTCCTTAAAAAAGGGAAGAATCATGGGTCAAAAATGAAGCAAAATACTTCAAATGAAAAAGTCAAGATCTGCAAGTCACTGAAAGGAATTTTATTAGGATAATTAAAGTGTGTAAAACACTGGAAGACCTAGATTTAAAAACTTATAATTTAGAAAACGCAACATGTAGTTTACAGAGGTAATGAATCCCTACCAGAACCAAACAGATGCTTGCAGTTCTGGCATATGGGATAGACTTGGATATTTTTAAGTCAACAATGATCCCTAAAGTTTGATTGCACCCTCTTTCATGTGAAAGCCACCATGTTACACACCAAACTTAATAAATTAAATCACACTGCATTTAAGAAATACTGAGGAAACTAAGTGTCATCTCCTTTGTCATTACGTTTCATAAATAACATGGAGAGCTAAAATCAAACTACAAGTACATAAATCTGTTGGCACACTGTGGTTCCTGGGTAAAGACTGCTGAGCCTTTATATGTTGGTACAGGTTCTTCAAGGTTACAAAGATCAAATTTGGCTCCTCTTCTTTTCCCAAACAAAATCTAGAACACAGTTTTGTACTTGTGTTATTTTAAATTTCACTTTCACTGTTAAGTGGCAAATGCTTACTCGAAGTGCTGGTCAAGGTTTTTGAGCCATACTTTTGACTTGTGTGTATGTGTAAGTTTAAACAAAACTCCACATGCATGTTATTCAGATACTTGCTGAGAAAAGTCAGAAAACAGATCTGTAAGGACACGCAGTGGAATGTGCGTGGCTTGGCTGGGAGGCTCACAATCAGGAACAAATTACACCACATAATGGCTGGAAAAGTTAATTAAGTCAACTTAACCAATAACTTCACCAATAACAAAACTTTTTTGTTTGCTTGCTTTAATCATGAAATGGTGGATAGCAAATAAACTGTGTATGCTACATTCGTTTGGATTCATGTTTAACTGTTCAGTTACAAATAATTTAGGAGTTTTGTAAACTAAGCATAAGAAACCTTCCACAAACAGGAACAATTTGCACCACCTGCTACAGCAGCCAAACGATTCCATTTTCCATTTTGTGGATGGTCTCAGTGTAGGCATCCAAGCATTTCTGCAATATTGACACAGACAGACTAGACAGACAGACGGAAGGACAGATGCTAACAGACTATGTGACCAAGGCTGCGAGCAGCAGGTAACAAGCCACCAGGTAGGCAGGCTGCAGAACGAAGGGGCTCCCACCCCCTTAATCCTGGGACTGCAGAGAAGCACTAAACTAACTGGATGAAAACTGTAGCATCTTCTGTAAAAAAAGAAAGTCACTGTAATGATTAGCATTCACAGACATGAAGGAAAGGGTTTACAGTCCTCTCTTTTACTTTTTCCTCTCTTTGAATTTGTTCTCCTATTTCCCTGGAATCCTCTTGTCAGGTTGCAACCCACGTTTAAAAATATCACTTCTATGTTCCTTTTATTTGGTTGGATCTGCTTGTTGTCCCGAATAAAATGCAGTAAATCCCTTAGACAAAACAGAAGCACTGAAAAAAAAATGGTCAGCGTTCAGGGGTTTCTACACAGCTCTCATCTCTGCGTGCACCCTGCAAACTTGACTAATGAGGGCTTGCTCCCACACAGGCCAGGATTTATTCACAGTTAGGAGGGGATGTGGGTTCAAGGGCACAGGTGATTGGGGCAGGAAGGCTGACGGTGGTTTAGAAAACAGAAGGGTGATTAATTCCAACAACAGGGCTCCCTTCTGTAAGTCACGACTGCGCCTTCTCTGGCTCATTTTCTCTTGTGCCTTGTGGGCTGCCATGGAGCTGGTCAGATTAATTCTGTTGCCAGTCACCCTCCACAAGATCTTGCAGGGACCCTATGGTCAAAGAGTGGCTCAAGACAAACTCAGCCGTGGGAACCACACCTGGTATGGGAGGGGTGGTACAGCAGCAAGTGCTGCAATGAGTCTGACTTCCAAATTCTATGAATATAGCATTATCCGTTATTTGATTGGCCTAGTTGGGCTTGCCTATTTCCTATTTCCAAGACTAGTCCTTAAGTGTATTCATTAATATTGTTTCTATGCTTTGTAATAAACTCATTTTTGCCTTTGTAAAAAAAAAAATGACTCTGACAGTGACTTCTGCAGGCACAGTGGCCTCCTGCACCAAGCTGCACTGGCTCTCCCTGTTCTTACACTCACTCGTGTTCGTGAGCACTCACACTCGCCCACATGCTCACACGCTCACCCATACTCTCCCACACTCGCATTCACCCACTTTCACACACACTGTGAACTACTAAGGGAGCCAAATGTTGATGTTTCAGAAAGCATAACACACAGAAAGCATTTATTCCTGCAAAATGACTATTACGTATATCAAGTAACCATCACTGCATATGCCAATTCTATTTCTGAAATAATAAATGGGCCTCATTTTTTTTACAAATTCCAGGAAAAGAAAACAGGAAAAAATGGTTTCCTTTTAAAAAGAAGTATGGCTGCTATAACCACAAGGGAAAAATGATGCAAATATTCCGGCTTAATTAAACTAAGCTCCCATACTGACTTTAAACACTACAAATAGCGAAACATAAACATATTTTCACAGACATGTCAAGTAAATTCATTATTTTAACTCAGACACAAGTATATCTCCCTAAGGATTGATGCAAAACTGGACTCATTAGCCAGCAGGTTTCACAGCCAGCCTCCAAACCCACCCCACCCCCTGGACCTCCCGTCTCCCTGGCATGACTAGTGATGCCCACTCATGAAATTCGGTACAGACAGGAAGCACGGACTCTCGGCCATGGGCACAAATGGGCACAGAGCAGACAGGAAGCAGAAACTCTCGGCGTGACCATGGGCATGAATAGGCACACAACCAGGCTGCTCTAAGGAATATCTGTCCTTAGAGGCAGGCGTTCTGGGCTGCAGTTACCTTCCAAAAACGGATTCTGACACTCCAATTGTACAAAGAAAGATTTTAAATCAACCTAGTAAAATTTCTTTTGGAAAAAAATAAAGCACGCCCATTGAGAGGGAGGTAGCACCCTGGCTCATCAAAATCAGTGTAACCAGACATCTTCCTAAGGGAAAGTGGAAAAATGGAGTGGGGAGGCCAGGATTGGCCGTGACAGCTGTACAAAGAAAAGGCATTAATGGCCTACAGCATGGAAAAGCTGGGAAAAGCAGTGGCGGTTACCATCAAATATTCAGGTCTGTTTTAACGAGAGGGGGCTCTAGAGTTTATCTTGAATGCTCCATGCTTGCTTGAAATGCCTCTCAACATTTACCTTAAAAATGTAAAATACAGAGGCTGGCACTGTGGAAGTGTGGGTAAAGCCACCGCCTGCAGCATGAGCATCCCATATGGGCGTCTGTTGGAATCCTGGCTGTTCCACTTTTGATCCAGCTACCTGCTAATGTGCCTGGGAAGACAGTGGAAGATGACCCAAGTGCTTGGGCCTCTGCACCCATGTGGGAGACCCCAGTGAAGCTCCTGGTTCAGCCTGGCCCATTCCTGACCATTTCAGCCATTTAGGGAATGAACCAGCGATGTTAAGATCTCTCTCTCTCTCTCTCTCTCTCTGCCTCTGTCTCTACTTCTCTGTAACTCCAACTTTCAAACAAATAAATAAATTTAAAAAAAAAGAAATGTAAAATACAGCTAATGGAAACAGTGGCTTTACATATCTGAATACAATTAAGAAACTAAATTTGTATAAGCCAACAACAAAACCTGCATCTCAGATACTGATGTTACCTTGAGGTTCAACCATTAACAAGTTTTAAAACCTTGACAGCAGTCTACTTAAAGTTTGGGGGAGGCGAGAAGGGGGGAAGAACCCTGCCACTAATTTTGACATGACTACATTTGTGTCTTTTGTAATAACTAATTATCCCGACTAGTATCGACTTTCCACATGAAATGCAAAGTGTTTTGAACTCTTGCCAGACTAATCAAGATGATTTCTAAAAATGCCAAAACAGGGACTTCCTATAATAAATATCCTATCACATTTACATCTCAAATTAGGAAATCTGGAAGAAAAAGCATGGAGGTCCGGTGCCAAAATAGAGATTACAGAGGCGCAGTCCCCACCCCCCACCCTGCTCCATGGGCTTTCCGTGGCCTCCCACGGAACAAACACTGTGGTTCAGGTGCAGACGCTCCACGCGCCAGCAATGCAGAGAACATGAACGTGACCACAGGCCTGGCTGCTGGTCATCCCCGCGGCTGCTCACCATTGGAAGTGGTGCTCGAGGCCGCAGCCTTCTCGCTGACGTCTGTCCGAGTGGAACATTTCACTATGGAACTCTCCACCTTTTTCTTCTCAGTGGTCGTGGAGCTGTGGGACTGGGCCTCCATGCTGTCTTCTCATTACTTCAGCTCTCTTTCTACCAGGAATGCCTGCAAAACACCAACAGCGCAATCAGCTTCCAGGAGTGGTGGGAAAAGAAACTCATTCAGAGGCAAAGGCCCGCTGCACTTGTCACCACAGAAGAGCCTCAAAATCTGGATGAAACAGGTTTTCTGGCAAAAATGTCTCAAAGTCACATTCACAAGACAGGCTAATTCTACCCACCCACACTGAAAGAGAACAAAGGGAGAGGTCCCCAAAGGGGAACCTTCCAAAATCCCTACTGGGCATTGGTGATCAAATGGTCTAAATGTCTCCGCTTTCAATTGTGTCTCTCCTGTGAACCTCAGTGTCATGTTACTTTTTTTTTTTTTTTTACGCTTTATTTATTTATTTTAAAGGCAGAGTTACAGAGAGGCAGAGGCAGAGAGAAAGAGAGGGTGAAAGATCTTCCATCCGCTGGTTCATTCCCCAAATGGCCACAACTGATGCAGCTGGGCCGATCTGAAGCCAGGAGCCAGGAACTTCTTCCACAAAGGTGCAGGGGCCTAAGGACTTGGGCCATCTTCTACTGCTTTCCCAGGCCATAGCAGAGAGCTGGATCGGAAATGGAGCAGCCGCTTCTTGAACTGGTGCCCATATGAAATGCGGGTGCTGTAGGCAGCGGTTTTACCACTATGCCATAGTGCCGGCCCCACGTTACTCTTTTAAGCCAGACTCATGAATTGTTTCTTTCTTTCTTTTTTTAAATTTATTTTTGTCCCACAGGCAGAGTGGACAGTGAGAGAGACAGAGAGAAAGGTCTTCCTTTTTGCCGTTGGTTCACCCTCCAATGGTGCGCTGATCCGATGGCAGGAGCCAGGTACTTATCCTGGTCTCCCATGGGGTGCAGGGCCCAAGCACTTGGGCCATCCTCCACTGCACTTCCTGGCCACAGCAGAGAGCTGGCCTGGAAGAGGGGCAACCGGGACAGAATCCGGCTCCCCAACCGGGACTAGAACCCGGTGTGCCGGCGCCACAAGGCGGAGGATTAGCCTAGTGAGCCGCGGCGCCGGCTATGAATTGTTTCTTTAGGTGGCCAACAATAGGAAGCAGTATCAGTAAAACTTCCAAAGCTGGAGATGATTTTTAATTCTTTCTTAAAAGATGTATTTATTTGAAATGCAGAGTGACAGAGAAACAGGATGAGATGGAGAGAGATCCTCTATCCACTGGTTCACTCCCCAAATGCCCACAACATCTGAGGACTGGGTCAAGCCAAGCCAGAAGCCAGGAACGCAATCTGAGTCTGCCACATGGGTCACAAGGACTCAAGTAAATGGGCCATCACCTGCTGCCTCCCAGGGGCATTAGCAAAGAGCTGGATCAGAAGGACAGAGTAACCAGGACTTGCACTGGCACCTCCTTATAGGATACACGCATCCCCCGCAGCAGCATATCCTGCTGCGCCATAATACCTGCCCTCAGGCTTTTAATCATTAACTCAGTGTTTCAAGGGGTGTTCAACAATTTCCTATATCGAACCCCACCGGAAGTTCTGAATTAGAGGATAACTCAAGTCACGTGGCAAATGATTTTTGGTTCTCTTACTAAAATATTTGAATTGAAGGCTGACATTGTGGCATAGGGGGTAAAGCCTCCACCTGAGATGCCAGCATCCCATATGGGCTTACGCTGGCATCCCATATGGGTTCTGGTTGAGTCCTGGCTGCTCCACTTTCGATCCAGCTCCCTGCTGATGCACTTGGAAAGCAGAAAGGGATGGTCCAAGTGCTTGGGCCCCTGCAATCCATGTGGTAGACTAGATGAAGCTTCTGGCTCCTGGCTTTGGCTTGGCCCAGCTCTGGCCATTGTGAAGTGAACCAGTGGATGGAAGAACTCTCTCTCTGTTTCTGCCTCTCTCTCTCTCTCTTTCTCTCTCTCTAACTCTGTTTTTCAAATTAGTAAGATAAATCCTTAAAAAAACAAATTCTAAAAAAAAAATCTGAATTGAAATGTGTCCCTTAGTTCTAATTCATTCAGGTAAACTTTCTTAAAACTTTATACTTTCTTAAAACACAAGAACATTTCAATTCATTTGAGTTACATTTTTCAAACAAAGATAACTGCACAATATGGCCTTGATCCCACAAGGAAAAATCTAATGATCACTGATAGTGAACACTGGGATGACTTAGGAAATAACTACATTTAACTAAAGGCAAGTTCCATTAGTCTACCTTTCACTAACTTCACTCATGTGATAATTGCCCTAACTCATCATTCAACAAGTTTCACTCCATTTGGTTCATGTTCACTTTTTGCAGTGATGTTTACACCTAAAAAAGAATACAAAAGAAGATGAAAATACCCTCTCTACCATGTTTTCTTTAAGTTACTTAGACTGTGGCACTCATGGTGCGTATTTATTTGGTCTAGTCATCTGTTTTTCCACATTTAGCTGACGTCACCACTGTGGTCAATCGAAACAGTGATCAGTGAAATTAAAAAAAAAAAGCAACAGATGAAATAACTTTAGTCATTCCTAGTTCAAATTTGCAAAGGAACTGCAAATTCTCTGTTGTACAGTAAATTCCCCTTGATCTGGGATTCAAGTGACTAGAAAGCTTAAGAACCAGAGGCCACATGGCGCTGTAGCACCAGCTCTTCCACTAAATTCCATTTCTTTTCTGAGATTATCCAGTGTCATTCACTGTAAAAACACACAAGTTATTTAAGAACAGCTTTTGTAGAACCCAACAGAAAAAAGAAGCACTAAGTTAAATTTACATATCAATAGCAGGATCCACTCCAAATTCAGAAACCTCCCCGAGAGAGCACGGAGGAAGTGCCACAGTGAAGAGGCTGGGCGGACTTCCCTCCCCAGGGCTTCCAGTGTTTCCCCGCACCCCTGGAGCTGTCCAGCCAACCACCTAGGGCACCCTGTGGCTGAACCTCAGGTGTCTCCCTGTCAAGTGACAGAAGCAGACAATGAGCCTGAGCCATTTTCTCTGAGGGTGTGGAGGGGAACAACCTTCTTAAGAATGTGTTAAAAGTTAAGAATCTTGAAAAATGCCCTTCAACACAAAAGTACATATTTCATTTTTGAGGCATCACAGACCCTGCAGGCTTTCCCATGAACTGGGATACAGAATCCTTAAAGTGAAATTTTCGATGGTCCATTCCAGACCTAATTATCTCAGAATGGTTCTTTCATTTTTTTGAATGATTCATCAAAACGATTTAAATATCATTTTAAAGGTCTGCCAGAACAATTCGACCCAATCCACATTGGTGTCTCTCAGCGGAGCACAGGAACCATTTCTATCAGCTGTTGCTACAATGCTTGCTACACATTCAGGTCCCAGGGCCCAGTCCCTGAGGCGATGTCTTTTTCTTGGAGCGCAGCCTCAGCCACCTCTATTGCAACAAACACTACTGCTTGGCTAACTCAAGCTTTTGAACAAACTGCTCTGCACGTTTATTTTTGTCTACAGTGCTATAAACCCCATGCAGTGGGTAATCACCGAAGGGTTTGCTGATTGGATAAACTAAGGAATGAACTGCATCCCAGAGTACCAAATTCCAACAGATCACACAAAGCCGTGCCGGGACAGGTCACCATGACAGTACACTCTTCATCTGGGAAAGTCTTCGCTGGATGTCCATCTCTGCACCACCCCTTCACCACCAGCACCATAAGAACTGGGCCTCCCCCCTCTCAGCACCTGGGACACATAAGGATGCTTGCTGAGTAAACAGATGAGCACATTGATGGCCCTGTGGCTTAAGTCTTCACTAAATCAGCTACACACATTTTCTTTTATATCCAGTGTTTCCCTGAAAACTGGTACATAATATAAAAACTAAAAGCATTCATAAGAATAGTTAATTAATCAACGCACTTCATTTTTAGCCATTTGAGATAAACAAGCACTTACTATACCATAACTGTTTCCTTAAAAACACACATAGTGGGCAGGCATTTAGCATAAAGATTAAGAGACTGGTTAAGTCTGGGTAAGATCCCTTGTCAGAGTACTTGGGTTCCTGACCTGGCCCCAGCTCAACTCCAGCTTCCTGCTATGAAGACTCTGGGAGACAGTGGTGATGGCTGAAGTAAATGTGCTCCTGCAACCCGTGTGGGGGACCTGGACTGAGTCCTCACATCCCCCAGGCTGTTGCGGGCATCCTGGGAGTGAGCCAGCAGATAGGAGCTCTCTCTCTCTCTCTGCCTCTCAAATAAATTAATAAATAAGTCAACACAGTTTTACTGGCTCAATTTGGGCAAAGAGCCTACTAAGTTAAAACTGCACAGGGAAGCACACCAATGGACAAGAGGTAGATTCCTGGTGAGCAGCAAGCCTCTCCCGTAACAGAGGGAGCTAATTAACAGCAGTCAGGACAGAAGTCACCAAAGTGCTTTGACAAACTTGGTTCTTGTGCAGTCGTTGGGTTTTCCCCCCAAGGCACAGGACTTCATTTTAACAAAGCAGTAAACCCCCAGTGCTCATCACCAGAGGGAGAGGCTCCTGTGAGAACAGGTAAAGCTGCAGGCACTGCCTGCAATCACACTAATTAATGGTCTTAGAGAAGAGGAACTGCTATTCTCCCCACACCACCCCCGATCTGAAATGGAATTTTTAAAATACAGGACCTTGGTCACTCAAGAGTCTACTTCTTTCTTTTATTTTGACAACTTATTCTTGGATCTCATTAGTTAGTAACTAATTATTTAAAAGTGTGGCTTATGCTTGGAAGGGGCTATAAAAATGGCACCTTGCCAAGGCAGACATCTGGTTCCTGTACATCTCTATAAATTATTTCAGCCTATTTTACTGATACAAACACAACTGTGTCCCTGTCAGTCCCAATGGAAAAAGTTTTCACAATTTAGGCGCCCACAACTCCTGAAACTGTGCAGGTGGAGTGGCGAGCAGGAAAGGGTGCCTGCTCCCAGTGGTGCAGCAGGGTTTGTCAGGGAGCAGTGAGGGGTTGGGAACAGTCCTGGGGTGACTCCTGAAGCATTCAGTATGGAAGGGACCCATAAAATCCTGGCACAATCCTAAGC